TCGGGAATACCATGCGGCGCTGCTCCACATTCCCTCGATCACTTACCTTGTCCTGCACTCCCATGATGTCCTCCCTGCAGTGTCCCCGGCAATGTAATCCGGCGGATGCCGGCATCTGTCATCTGGGTTTCGTCCCCTGAGAGCGTTGGGATGTACGGGGACGGAACGGCGGGAAATTTGAAAATGACAAAAAGTGACATTCACTAAAATCACTAAAATCACATAGTAAAACATTGCTGTTTCAAACCATTTCACATACATTTTGTCCCGAGTGCTTTGTCCTGTGCCCTGCCTGCATTTTCACTGTTCTTTCTGCCTGGAAACTGAGAAACGTCCATGGCGTCCAAACAGCGTCCCTTTAGGTCAAAAGCAGTTTTAGACCAGCTAGAGAACAGCGATAGTAAATTAGAACCACTTGCAGAATTGAGTGATAATGATTCGTGGGGCAAATTCATCATCAGACATGAAAATGATTTTGCGACTTTGCTCAGTGATGTGCGAATTTGGCGCTATTTCTCAAATTTCAGTGTTTTTGCTTAGATTATATTATTGAATTAAATTTATTATTATTATATTATTATTTTTTAGGATTATTTATTAAATTATAATTTATGATTTCGTGTTTCAAGTTTTATCATATCCGGAATGTTTACTAGACTCTTGTTCGGACAGATTTCAGTGAGTTATTCCTAAATATTACAGGTCTACAATAAAAAAAACTACATATTTCCATGCAAAAAAATGTACCGCTTTGAGCACAGAAATATGGACATAATCAGACCGCTAGGGAGGTTAAAAAAAAATTATTATTATTTTGTTTTTTAATAAATACACAACTGCTTGAAATCGTGTTGTTTTACATGTTTTAATGTTTTTCTGCCTGAATCAAAATATAGACTGAAAGATAAAACATATGCATATTTTAATATAAAATAAAGATAATGCACCATTCAAATGCCACCACAACAATTAGAAATAAACTAACAGATGCATATGTAGGACCCTGCTGATATTTCAGATATCATGTGCAGTTATAAACAGTAATCCAGCCAAGATCTTAAGGTTAAGTCAAGTTTACTACCACTCAGGGGCAGACTGGCAACTCATGGGGCCCCCGGGCAATAGGGGATCATGGGGCCCTGTGTCCTTGCCCAAACTCAAAAAAGTCTATGAAAAAGTACCAGGGGCATCTCATGGGGCCCCCTACTGACCCCAGGCCCTCGGGCAGTTCCTGAGTTTCCACATGGTCAGTCCGCCCCTGTTAGCACTTGATGTCCAAATAAGGGAGTTCAGGCTTCTTCTAGTCTAGAGTTATTCTTCTCAACCTGTGTCCACCACTGACACTCTGCTACTACAAAATCCAGCTACAAAAATCTATACAGATCAATGGTAAAATAAATATAGGGGAAACTTTTTATAAAATACAGACCAATAACAAAATATCTTAGATGACCTTTTTACGAACACCTTGGTGTACTCATACAGACCAATAGTAAAATATCTAAGACAACCTCAAAGACAATCTAAGACAAACACAGACCAATAGTAAAATATCTAAGACAACCTCAAAGACAATCTAAGACAAACACAGACCAATAGTAAAATATCTAAGACAACCTCAAACACAATCTAAGACAAACACAGACCAATAGTAAAATATCTAAGACAACCTCAAAGACAATCTAAGACAAACACAGACCAATAGTAAAATATCTAAGACAACCTCAAAGACAATCTAAGACAAACACAGACCAATGGTAAAATATCTAAGACAACCTCAAAGACAATCTAAGACAAACACAGACCAATGGTAAAATATCTAAGACAACCTTTTTATGAAACACAGACCAACTATAAAATGTCTAAGACAATCTTTTTATGAAATACAGACCAACTGTAAAATGTCTAAGATGACCTTTTTATGAACACCTTGGTTTATTCATATATTTACTAAGTTAGAACAAACTAATCACTCATTCTGAATATATAATGGAGCTAAAACAGCACGGCACCAAAAAACACAAGCTGCGGGACATCAACACTTGGAAATGTGTCTGTATTTGATGGTACAATAATTAATGCTTCATCTGTACACACATAAGGTGATTTCTAATTTTAAAAAGGATAATATTTTCCTTTATGTTGCTTACCTTCCCAGCCATCATTAATTTGCATAAATAAAGATCATGATGCATAGCAATGTGTGTTCCTTCCATTTTACAGCAGTTACCTCTTTTAAGCTTTATTACGATCAATGAAACCGCATGGTGTACAGTAGAAGGCTTGTTTACAAGACAAACAAGTGTACTTTGATTTTTTTTTTCTTCGAGTCTGTGTGGCTTTTGCAGGTTAATTTGGTAACAGCTCCTTTCAAATAAAGATGAAAAAACACCAGCTAGCATATCCAGGGCTATCTGAGTAACATCGGCAACTATTATGAGGGAAAAATAGTTTTCAAAAGTAGTTTTATAAAAGAACTTTAGGTCTTGTGTTACAATAGAAATGTTTAAGTCACTGATGGAAAACAATACGTTTTTCTCATTAGTGTTGAGGCACAGAGGGGTCAGAACCATTTGTGCTTCTCTATATCTCCATTTTTACTTTTTTTAAAACCTTCATCTATTGAAAAAGCCGATTCAAGGGTTTGGTTAACTATTTCCCTCCATTATTTTGGCTTTTTTTTTTCAGATTCAGCTGTATTTGGAAACTGAACTCTGAGCAAAAAGCTAATTCCAGGAACTTGGCACCAGCCATTGGCCCAGGACTTGTTGTTTAGATAATGCCCATGAACATGGGAATAAGCATAGAAGACACATTGCTCGTTTTCCTACATGCATGAGCACATGTGAATGCACACGTGCACATGCACGCACTGCTGACAGGTGGCCTATTTAAACCAGAATCCTGCACTGGTCCTGTGCTTTATGGTCTTCAGCCTTTCCCCTGTGATCCAGTTTTGATGTGCACCTGTGATCCTGTTACCAACCCAACTTCTGCTCTGACCTTGCTCTTGGATTATCCTTACAAGTCTGCTATTTACCTCTGCTACCATAACCCTGACCATGCTTCTGCCTGGCGCCAATGTACATCGCTACCCAAAGGTTGCCAACCTGTGCCTTTTCCTGACTCTGATTTGTCCTGGAGTACACCATCCACTGAACTTGGTGCTACCAAAGTAAATCACCAGCTGTACTGTGCTCATCAAATACCAGCACACTCAAGTTCTTACGCACAGTGGCTACATCTTGGCACTTGTGCCCTCCTTTTGTCCCTGCAGTCCCTGTCTCACTATCCAAGGTTGCTTGGACAGGAACTGTGGAAGAGGTCACCCTCATCATCTCAGGCTCCTCATACAGGTACGTGACAGCTACATACATATTTTTGATACATATACTCACCGGCCACTTTATTAGGTCCACCTTGCTAGTATCGACTTGGATCCCCTTTTGACTTCAGAACCGCCTTAAGCCTTCATGGCAAAGATTCAATAAGGTGTGGGAACATTTCTCAGATATTTTGGACCGTATTGACATATGTCACTGTTGCCTTTCTCTCATCTGGAACCAGTCTACCGATTCTCTTTTGACCTCTGACATCCACAAGGCATTTTTGTCCACACAACTGCTGCTCACTAGATATTTTCTCTTTTTCGGACCATTCTTTGTAAACCCTAGAGATGGTTGTGCATGAAAAACCCAGTAGATCAGCAGTTTTTTAAATACTCAAACCAGCCCGTCTGGCAGCAACAACCATGGCACGTTCAAAATCACTTAAATCCCATTCTGATGTTCGATTTGAACTTCATCAAGTCGTCTTCACCACGTCTAGATGCCTAAATGCATTGAGTTGCTGCATTGTGATTGACTGATTAGCAATTTGTGTTACCAAGCAATTGAACAGGTGTACCTAATAAAGTGGCCAGTGAGTGTATATAGTAGCTGTTTATCTGGAAAATAATTTGTATTTCTGTAAAACCAGTTCAGAGGTTTACAGAGCCCTACAGAAGCCTTGTGATCAAACAGCTTGGTCACCTCCTGGCCCTCTCTTTGGAAAGAGACGAAGCATCAGCAGACCTATGGTGTAATTGTTGTGTTTCAAATGCCACTTTATGCATTGACACACCAGTCTGACCCAACAGTATGGTCACCTGCTAACTTGGCACCATCCACAAGCAGCTTAGCTCTTCAATAAAACAAAGAAGTTGCATCCAAAGCAATTTTTCCAGGCTATTGAAGTTTAAGGAGACAATTAATTTCCTAAGCTCTGTGAATAACTAATAGTGACTGAGGGAACATAGGAGAAACATAAAGGCTCTAACTAGGACAAAACCAACTAGCACTAAACAGGAAGGGAGAACAGAGGAGACAGCACATAATCACCATTAGATGTCAGCATGTCAGCAGGATTTGTTTCATCTCTGTGTATCACTTCAATGGGTATATGTAAGGGTTTACATCCACTTTAATGAAATTGGGTGACAAAGAGAAACACAGAGGGCATCTTATGGCAAAGAGAAAGTACTGTAAGGGACAGCACTGGGTTGAAGGTGAGTATGACAACCTGAGCTGATTTTAAATGTTATACACTGGCTAGGGGGACAATTAAAAATGGCCAGAGTTAGGCTTTAATACATTTTCTAAATCAATGAAAGATATTCCTCATCTTTGAAGCCTTAAAAAATAAAATATATGACAATGAAAATTCATAGGATAAGTATGGCACTATTACAGTGGCACTCATAATTACTATTAATACACATCTTATTCTTGTTCTCTTCATGAATCTTCCAGTTGTGATTAGGGGTGGACTGACAACTCATGGGGCCCCCTGGCAACAGGGGATCATGGGGCCCCTGTGTTCTCATCCACACTCAAACCACAGCCAAAAAAGCCTATGAAAGGTACCAGGGGCATCTCATGGGGCCCCCTACTGACCCCGGACCCTCGGGAAGTGCCTGAGTGCCCGAATGGTCAGTCCGCCCCTGGTTGTGATCCAGTCAGGGGCAGACTGACAACTTATGGGGCCCCCTGGCAATAGGGGATCATGGGGCCCCAGTGTTCTCATCCACACTTAAACCACAGCCAAAAAAGCCTATGAAAGGTACCAGAGGCATCTCATGGGGCCCCCTACTGACCCCGGACCCTCGGGAAGTGCCTGAGTGCCCGAATGGTCAGTCCGCCCCTGGTTGTGATCCAGTCAGGGGCAGACTGACAACTCATGGGGCCCCCTGGCAACAGGGGATCATGGGGCCCCTGTGTTCTCATCCACACTCAAACCACAGCCAAAAAAGCCTATGAAAGGTACCAGGGGCATCGCATGGGGCCCCCTACTGACCCCGGACCCTCGGGAAGTGCCTGAGTGCCTGAATGGTCAGTCCTCCCCTGGTTGTGATCCGGTTCACCAGTTTTTTTACTAGCATTTCCAAAAATGTATCTAAGCCCTCGTTCACATTCTAACCGACTTTGAAATCACGCAACTTCACTTGAAGTGGCACAATTTCAAAGCCGCAGGTCAGTTCGATTTCAGGTACAACTTGCCAGACCTGCCAACTTCATGCACAGATTTCTGTGCAAGTTGCACCTGAATTTGAAAAAATAGTGCACCTTTTTTTTTTTTTTCAAATCGGTGCTGCACTGCAATGTCAGAGTCACACTGATTGTAATGGTTCTATTACTGACAAAAGGGAGCGACTTTTCATGTGATTTGGAACTGTCAAATCGCATGACAAGTTCACCGATGTGAACCAGGGCTAAAAGTACAAAATTTTTGCATTGATCGTGAGTTGTAATTTTTTCACTCACAAGCACATTCCTTTATAAAATAATAATAGTAACCTCATTCCGTGCTTAATGGTAACTTCAATCCAAACAAAAAGTAAAAAGGATAAAACAATAAAAAAGGTAATAATATTGTGGTGTAGAGCTATATACAATAAGGATTAGCCTTGTATTTATGGGCATTCCCTTATAAATGTTAAAAGTTGAATTCCAGGTTTAATTTTATTTTAAATAGTTCATTTGGTCCAAGCTGGCCCAAACAGACTATTTTCATGACATACCTATGCGGTCGCTGTGTGTGTTGTGATATACTGTTGTAGTATTAGCTACATACAGTAGTTACATACTTTTTCCTGTGTTGAACAGAAGTTCTGGAAAGCAGGTCCAGGCTAGACCAATGTAACTATATATGTAAATATATCCATGACTGGAATTCTTTAATCTTTTCACCATTATAAACCCCAATGGATTGTCTAATACACTATACTGCCAAAAGAATTGGGACGCCTGCCTTTACATGCACATGAACTTGGTGTTAGTCCGTAGGGTTCAATATTGAGTTGGCCCACCCTTTGCAGCTATAACAGCTTCAACTCTTCTGGGAAGACTGTCAACAAGGTTTAGGAGTGTGTCTATGGGAATGTTTGACCATTCTTCCAGAAGCGCATTTGTGAGGCCAGGCACTGATTTTGGACGAGAAGGCCTGGCTTGCAGTCTTCGCTCTAATTCATTCCAAAGGTGTTCTATCAGATTGAGGTCAGGACTCTGTGCAGGTCAGTCAAGTTCCTCCACCCCAAACTCGATCATCCATGTCTTTATGGACCTTGCTTTGTGCACTGGTGTGCAGTTGTGTAGGAACAGAAAGGGGCCATCCTCGACCTGTTCACAAAGTTGGGAGCATGAAATTGTCCAACTTGTCTTGGTATGCTGATGCCTTAAGAATTCTCTTCACTGGAACTAAGGGGCCAAGCCCAACCCCTAAACAACAATCCCACATCATAATCCCCCCTCCACCAAACTTTACACTTGGCAAAATGCAGTCATGCAAGTACCATTCTCCTGTCAACTGCCAAGCCCAGACACATCCATCAGATTGCCAGACAGAGAAGTGTGATTCATCACTCCAGAGAACACGTCTCCACTGCTCTAGAGACCACTGCATCCAATGCTTTCCGATCACTTGGTGATGTAAGGCTTGGATGCAGCTGCTTGGCCATGGAAACCCATTCCATGAAGCTCTCTATGCACTGTTGTTGTGCTAATCTGAAGGCCACATGAAGTTTGGAGGTCTTTAGCTATTGACTCTGCAGACGGTTGGCGACTTCTACGCATGCGCTGACCCCGCTCTGTCATTTTACGTGGCCTACCACTTCATGGCAGAGTTGCTGTTGTTCCCAGTTGCTTCCACTTTGTTATAATACCACTAACAGTTGACTGTGGAATATTAGGTAGCAAGGAAATGTCACAAATGGACTTATTGTACAGGTGGCAACCTATCGTGGTACCACTCTTGAATTCACTAAGCTCCTGAGAGCGACCCATTATTATAGGAGCAATCTGCATGCCTAGGTGCTTGGTTTCATACACCTGTGGCCATGGAGGTGATTGGAACATCTGAATCCAATGATTTGGAAGTGTGTCCCAATACTTTGGGCAATATAGCATATGTCAGGACCAGGATCTAAACCAAAAACCTCTGCCAATAGCTCTTATTGCTGAGCTACCTGTGATGCTGGACAACACTATGTCTGAACCTTGTTCTCTTTGCTTCTCCCATGAACTTCCTAATTTAAACCATGTCTCTGCACTTCCTGTTTGCCAGATTATTGTGCTCTCTCCAGCAGAAATCTTGCTCCTTACATACCTGCAGCTTATCTCCACTTACATTCAATACTGAACTTTGGCTTGATCCTTGACTTTTCTTCCTCTTGATCCCAACCTGGAACCTCTTGTTAGAGACCTTTGATTTGTTTACTGACTATGCTTCTGCTTAATCCCTACCTACTAAATCTGTTATTGGACTCCTGGTGGGGCAATCCTGAGGACTGTGACCTGACACTAACACATAGCAAAACCCATCTCCACCATCAGTAGTTTTGGTGATTACCACCCAGAAACCATAATTCTCTAATTCTCAGATTCACTATATTCTCATGCATGAAGAACATCTAACCTGGAGAGAAAATAGTCTGGTAACATTTTGCCAGCTTTAACAAAAGATTACAGTACATGCAGTTTCGTAGAATGAATAGCTCTGCATAATTTTTATAACTATGCCCCTAAAAGCATAGTCTTTTTATATATTTCTAATCTGCTAAACTGTATCATTCTATCGTAGAAATGTATATATTGCACTTTAAGCAATGTTATCTTTTAGCCTGAAATCCACAAGAAAGATTTTATTATATACAACTATGAAAGTGACAAAGGTGTATACTGTCCGCAGATGATTGCTTTAATATCCAGAATTTTAAATTTTTTTAATTATTTGTCTTCACTGTTTAACATAAATAATGTGCTGTATAGATAAACCATATGTTCACCTATTTGAGCTCAATATTGCATGCCCAGCATTTCCAGTAAGAAAAGATATATGTTTTTATAGCAGCTTTCTTAGCTAGAAAATTAGGGTCACTAATTTATTTGTTGACACTGAAAGTTGCTTCCGGGAAAAAAAAAATATGGTTATCTAAGGGACTCAGCAAATGTGCAAATTTAATATATAATTACCTCAAGGCCATTTCCTAGAAACCATTCTAATCATGCAGTATGTCTAATTTGGCTTTCATTTACTGAATATTCATAATTCACTTTATTTATGAATGCACACATGATACATACTAATTTATCTTACAAACTGCATTATTTTAAGGTTTAGGTTGTTGATTTAACACAATTAGTTGTATTCATGTACTAGTCTCTGTGTTTACAGGTCAGATTTAATAACCCTTACATAATGAAACTTTTACAAACATAAAATAATAGTAAAAGGATCACACTGAAATTATCTTTAAACAGTCAACACATAATAAAAGCTGTCATAACACTCAGGAAAAATGCCAGGGGGTAAAATATCATAGATTTAGCTTTTTAAAGTTGAAAAGAAAAATTAGAAATTTTAACTCTGTATTTTTAATAATAGAAATGTTCATTTTCTTCATCTATTATGGTCAGAACTAAAACTAAATATGTTAAAATTATTTTTATTTTTTTTATTTTGTTATGTAAATATAAAATATTGGATATTGAATACATTGTTTTTTCACTTTCAGCCAGCAGGTAGAACGCTAGGCTTTTTTTCACATGTTTATCAAGCTATCCTTAACTGCTTTGCTCAAAAAGGTTGTTGTTTGTGAAGCTCAATGGTTAAAGCCTAGTACACACTGCGACAAAATCGGATGACTGATTGTCTGATTTTCCAAGAAGGTGCGTATCATGATGTAGTTGGAATGGTACTTGTAAGAAAATTCTCGGTCAACAAAGGCAAATGTGGGCAAACGTAGCTATGTACTAGCGTAGTAGAAGAGAAAGTGTAGGGTCGTTCTATGCTTCTAATCATGCATGTTTTTTCTATTCGATTATTTTTGTATGATTACTGTACACATTAAATGAAAATCAGACGTTATGTTCACTTACGATTTTGTAGCTTGCATCCTCCATTTTTCTCTTCCGAAAAGTTAGAATCTGCTGTCTATACTAATGATCAGATAATCAGTTCCTCCTATGGAAATTTTCATACAATTTTTCTTATTGCATGTATGGACCATTACAGTAAAACTTACACACATAGCTGTATAAGTCAGAACATTGACCTGTCCCTCTTTCAACCCCCTGCTCCCTTTCAAATCTGTTGAGAGATTTTAAGAGGGGAGAGAAAGTCTGAAAGTAAACATTCTGTGCTTCTCTCTCTCTTGAAAACCTATTATTATTATTTGTGTATCCTGTGTCATGGATGTACCTGTCAGGAATGGACTTGCCAATAACGGTGGGACTCACCTGCCTTGTGGGCTGCAGTACCAGGGCTGGCCAGCGGATGCTCTCAGCAATCAGAGACTCACCCCTGCAGTCAGCCAAAACACCTGAAGCTGATTGCAGGGGTTGTATTTAAGGAATGGCCAGACTCACAGTCAGGGCCTTGGTGTGTGTTTTTCCATGGGCCCCTGTATCTTGTAACCTGCATTCCTGTTCCTGTTTCTGCCTGACTTGTTGCCGACCCTGCCTGATTCTGACCTCTGCTGACTTCTGCTGTTTGATCCCTGGCTTGTGACCCTGACCATTCTCTCCGCCTGCTCCTCCTGTACCTACCTGCCCGATAGTTATCGACCCGGCCTGCCTGACT